ATAAAGGACATTACGGCCCTAGGGAAAAGAGAGTTGTCCCTAATACAAAATAATCTTCCAGTATCAGTAAATACCTGACCCTTAATAAAAGTGAAAGTAGCACCCTATACAAGCTAATAAACTATTATTAATCCTGCTGTTATTCCAACTGTTCGTCTATAAATCACCAAAACCACAGGTCGATCACTCACTATAAGTCACGTGACCAAACTATAACATAATAGGCAAGTTCCAATCCCGATTCAACGTAGAGTAATCCTGAGTTGAGGTAGACAAGAGAAGGACAATAGTTAGTAAAAGAATAGAAAAAAGAAAGGACTAAAAGAGAAGAGACAATTACTTACCTACAGATAAACCACCAGCCAAATCTAACATGCCTATTTTGACTTAGCTGCCATAGGTTATGCGAGAGTTGGATTAGTTTAGTAACAGACTCGCCGAATTCCAGAGTCACACTATATAATAGAATTGGCTTATCTATTTGCTTATGTTAATAATTAGTTATCTATTTTAATGTTTTAGCTAATTACTGTATTGCATGGGTCTTTCCTCAGTTCTAGTTTTGTATATTATATGAATACGCTCTTTACTGTTATAAAGCGAAATGCAAAGTAATTATGCATATGATAAATTATTTGACACTAACATATAACCTGTCGTGTTGCTTCAATTTTAAAGCATCTATATATAATATAGAATATGTAGATAAACATTATGAAATAAACTTTATGAGATAAATCATAAAGAAAAACTGAATGTTCTATATGCTATTGATCTATCTGAAGTAATAAAGTAATAAAAGTAACAAAAGTAAGACAAATAAGATTTCTCTTACTTTTCATATAACCAATTACTCAGAACCTAAATGTGTAACACTAATTACAGTCATGCATTATGATCAGCATAAAACTGACCAATCAAAATTGATTTTTGTCTCCTAGTGTTTATCTTATAGTGTTTATCTCATAATGTTTATTTACCCATTCTATATTATATATAGATTTTATTGGTTAATAAAATATGTCAATTATGTGATTTGCGCGGAATGACCTTCAATTTGTGTAACATACATGACAAACATTCGGCCAATAAAAACAAACTTCCATTATGCTTTACATAACTTAGTCGATTGACTAGAATCAGCCGATCAAATTTCCTTATTTATAAGTGATGTACATACTGTTTTATATAATCATGCTATTATGTCATTGGTCAACGAATCGGATAATATAAATACTCAGGCAAACGTTGCTTAACTCTTCACAAAATGATTTCCGAACCTCGCAAAACTTTTTCAAATAATGTTATTCTTACAATCGAATGTTTTGATGAGATCTTTCAACATTTACTTAACGATAATGATAAAAATACATTGCATTCGTCTTTATTAGTTAATCGATCTTTTTGCAGAAAAATCGTGCCATTATTGTGGAGTAAACCATTTTCTTTATTGAAATTACATCCATCGAAATCATTTATAAAAACTTTTGTATTGTGTCTCAGCTTGAATGAAAGATTTGTATTATTCAATTATATCCTTAAAATTAAGGATAAAAGAATTGAAGAATATTCGGCTTTATTTCATTACCCAGTATTAATTAGAGAACTAGACTTCTGGAGTTTATATGAATGTGTAAGGGTTTGGATACAAGAGGATCGTTTAAAGTATACCAAAATTGGATTATGGACAAATGAAACGACATTTTACTTAATTAAAGTTCTCATCAGGCGTGGACAACATATTAAATACTTGAATTTGGTTAACAACGACAAGATAATTGAAATTCCACCTATAATGCGTTTATATAATGCTGACGTTGCATTTTCTAAACTTCAATATCTTTATTGTGGTGGTTATAATGCGGATGTAAAGTCATATACTAAATTAATGGAATATTGTAAAGATATAATGGAGATAGATATAGTGCATTATCACAAATCTTCTGATTCAAGTTTGGCAGCCTTAATTAGGTCACAACGTAGATTAAACAAGATAACTTACCGTTCAGTTTCTGGAGGAACATGGCGATTGGTAGCTGCTTTAGCTCAGACACATTTTCTTAAATCTGTAAGTTTTATTTGTACAGACTTTGCCGATACTTATTCAAAAGGTTTGGCTACATGTGATAATTTGGAAGTGTTAGAATTACTTGATTGTCGAGGAAATGATTTTGAAAAATTCTGGAAACCAATAATTGAAAAATCAAAGTTTCGGCTAAAAAAACTCTCTTTAGCACGTACTTCGGTTAATAAGGAAGCGATTGAAACACTTATTCGAAATGCCGGTGAAAAACTTGAGGAAGTAACCGTTGATTATACTGTCACTTCAACGATTCCTCATTTTCTGGAAATGTTGGTCAAGAATTGCCCAAATATTGTTTATCTCAAACTCTTCCTTCTTCATCCTGAAGAGTTGACCATGTTATTATCCATAATTTCAGTTGCTTTTAAACTCAAACAACTTGTCATTCGGACGTCTGATATGGATGTTACAGCAATTTTACCTGGATTAGCAAAACTGGTTCCTTCCTCTCTTCGTTTGCTTGATATGGATATGATGATTTCATCAAAAGCATTACAAGAGTTTTTAAATGGATGTGAAGCACCAATCCAACGACTGATTTTGAATGCTGGTCATACAATAACTGATGATCATATAATGATGATAATTCAGTATGCAAAAGAAAAAGGATCTTTAAAGTCCTTGGGGTATACTTATAGGACATTGCGTTGGAATTTATCTAGTCGTATTTCCCAAAAAGTTGAAAATAAGGCAAAAAATTTGATTTCTTTTTATAATCCAGAAGATCCTGCCGATTTTCTATTTCCATTAGATAGGAATGATGAATTAATAGGGACCGATACTTGGGATTAATGATACTGGCGATTGCATATAAGTTAGATGTTCAAAAAAAGTTACCTAAAATTTGTTTAATGCGCGCAAATTATTATCAAGAGAATTGTCGGCGAAATATATACAAGTGTCATTTGAGTTTCTAGAACCATTGAAATTTTTTTATTGCATGTTTAAATTCAACAATGCATAATGTTAACAATTCACAAAGTCTTGTGATTAAGGCAGACTTAACCGTATGCGCCGGACCTAGAGATGGGTTTCATGCGTGCGCATGATTCCGTTTCATGCGCATTTTATCCCATCAAGATTTCTCTCCTCTCGAACGTTTTTTCTTTTTTTTGCCTTTTTTTTATCATGCGATATCATGCGCATGAAACATTTCGTGCGCATTAATGCGAATTCATGCGCATGTTATTATAAAATTCGCATTTTTTCATCACTAGCCGGACCTTTAGTCAACGTGATTGCAGTTTGCTGTGAAGATTTACTGCGACCAAAATTTATTGTGGGTAGGTGGCTAAGATCAAAACTTATGTAATTAAAAGTCTTTTTGCGGTTAAAGTGATTAAGGCTTCGTTATGATTGAAGTTTTATCGCGATTAAAGTTTCATCATGATCAGCTAGTAACTAAAAAAAAACTGGTGACATTTGTTCCGCACTTTTATACTATTTAGTGCAGTGCTCGGATAGGATTAGTAGTATGGGATATTAATTACATCGCGACTTTTTGCAGTATTGACGTAATTATAACCATTTTAAAATCTATGTTCTCCGAGAACACAATTTTTATGAGCATGAATTATTAAAAAATGTTCCCCATTTGATAAATTTTTTAATATTAAAAAATTTTAGTTTCTAATACTGTGAACATTAAAAAATTTAATATAAAATCAAATTTGAATTTTAAACACTAATCATAACTAAGGTAGTATCAAAAATAATATAGCATAGATCATGACTCTAGTAGCTTGCAATAAATCACATGGTTGATCATAACTATGGATATGTATACATTTATTTCTTATAGATATTTTAAAAATATTTTGGCATTTTACAAATGCGACTCGACTCGTTCTTTTCCGATAATGTTTTAGAACCGTCACAAAGGTCGATTCAATGATTATTTACTTCCATAACAATTATCCAATTATCTAAAACAAAATCAAATCGATTTTTGGATGCAAAATTTTTTTGTGAAACTGGTAAATGAAATAGTAATGATTCTGCCGCATTCATATTAATGAAGTCTTACGTCCCCGAGGAGTGATGAGTTTGGTGCGTCAAGAACTTTCATGTTTTAAAACAACCAGATAAAAAAATTATTTTGCTATTATTTTTGATTATCATTTAATTAACTCGATAAAAATCCTATAAAAAAAATAATATTATTAATTATCAGGTAAATAAACAAATTAATCTAAATTGAATTACCAATTTGTAAATCTAAAATTCTTGCTTTTACTATTGTTAGTTATTGCAACTATGACATCACTTACATTTACATTTTTTTGTATTCAAATTATACTTTGTAATTACATATCAGATTTATATGTGTAAAAAATATCCAAAATTTGATTAATAAATCATACAAGCCAATCAAATTTAAGATTTTGCAGGTTAAGAGAAGTTAAAAAGAGAATTTAAGTAAAGTCTATATAAAATTATAAAATAGAATTTTTTTTCTTAGAGCATCAAAAGCAAATTTTTTTCTTAATTTTATTGATTAATCTGTTACTTATTTTGGAAATGCTGATAGGTTTCGGACACACAATGCTACGCATTAACCTAGTGCATCAACAATCAATGATTATATTACGATCATATTCAAATTATCGAAACGGGGCTAAATCATAGGTTTTTAAGCATATGATTATTTTGGGTCATAATTCTCAAATATCGGGCCTCTATCTGTAATTATTTTCATTTTTAGGCCCTTATCTGTAAATTCCCCTAAAATTTAACTCAGTTTAAATAATTTACGTAAATTACCCAACCCTGGACATTGCTCATGATGTGGCACTGAAAAGTCGTCGGATAACACGAATATTCGCGTTACAAATATTATACATATACTAATAATTATATAGTTATATATCGGGATGATTATTATTCTATTTAGCTATTTGGTTCAATGCTTATATTCATGTTGTACTTTAGATCTTATATTTTCGTTTTTCTCTTAAACTGTATTTTTACATTTGCTGCTGCTTTTATTCCAAATGCAAGATATCATCATTCTTCAGTCCTTATTGATAATAAACTCTACTTTAGTGGTGGATTTATTAATAATTCACTTGTCTTTACGAATGAATTCTTTTATTTAGATGTTTCTAAACCATTTAAAACAACATAAGATGTCTTAATACCATGGGTTGACCTTACTTATACCGGCGGTCCTCAAAAAGCATATGCTACAGCATGTATTGGTGGAAAAAATAATGATATGATTTTTATTTTGGTGGTTGTAATCAATCATTCGTTAATCAATTTGATACAAATAAACAACAGTGGATTAATATCACATCTTCTGGAAGTGTACCCACAGATAGAGACGAAATTTCATGTGCTAAATTTAATGATGGATTGATGGCTATTTTTAGTGGTTATAGTTATACACCTTACGCTATCACTAATGAACTTTGGATATTCAATACACTAACATTGACATGGAATTTAAACAGTGCGATAAATGTACCTTCATCTCGACGAAGTTATTGCGCAATAACTTTGCCTGATGATAATATTTTATATATTGGTGGACTTAATATATCAATGAATAATGTAAGTATTATTATTAATAAAATTGGACTTTTAAACTTTATTTATTAACGTTTTACAGTTACCGTTATATAATACAAAAACTAATACGTGGATAATTATGGTACATAACAAATAAATTCAAATTTTATTGTATTGTACATCGATATAGCAACTAATAATCAATCTTATATCTTATTAGAATACATCTAGCCCAACTCCTCCTTCTCGCGTTTATTTCTCAGCAATATTAAGTATATATTTAATATAAATAATTGGTTTAGGTACAAAACAAAGTTTCTTTTATTAATCATTTAAATTGAAAGCTCCTGACGGGCGTATCATAATATTTGGAGGTCAATTTGGAGATCAACTTGGTGGTCATACCATTGTAACGGGTTTAATGGACGAGTTCAGAGATGGGGCAAAAGCGACGAATTGTCGCTAGAAATTCGGTTATGCCGCGTAACGTTCCTCAAAGATAACAGAGGCGGTTTTTACGATTTGGCACAAGGTCAAGGCGATCGTAAAGGAGCGTTACAAGATAAGTGTTACGAATTTAAAAGAACGTGGGTTTATTTTACAAGTTAAAAGGATCTTTATTAACTTTTATTAGTATTTTGTAGGG